TAGAAATTTGTCATTTTTTTTTTGCAACACAGTTCTAAATGCTTTTAAAATGGAAAGTTTTACTACCACGATTAACTGGTCCAATATTATTTATGAGTATAATAAGTTAAAGTGAACACATCAGCATTTGGAATAATTTTATCAGTGCTATCTTCAAGCAAGCCCAACATTAATTGCTGTGCATATATCACACAATGAGATTTTAAAATACAGTCATTTATTGTAGCTTATTTCAGCTCTGCTGAGTAGACTGTGTGAATGTTAACAAGAGACCCAAATAGCTTCTGTAGTGAACCTGGGCAGGAGAACTAAATGGGCAGTGGGGATGCACCCTGAAGAGCAGCTTGAAGCGTGTGTACAGCTGCGGAGTGTTTGAAAACAAAAGTAAATTGGTATGCGGCAATTATAGATGAAGTGGCTTTTTCTAAGCAAAATCATCATGTAGCCTATGAATCAAAGCTGCAAAACTGTAAGCAATGATAAGCGATTTCATCAGCAGTTATAGTCATAAGGCAAAAGAAAGGTGGCTAAATAGTGGAAAGCAGTGGGTCTCAAACTTCAGCATGCCTCAGAAGCACCTGCAGCATGTTACAACATCATCTCCCGGGCCCAACCCCCCAGTTTCTGATTTAGTAGATCTGGGACCCAAGAACCTCATTACTGTCAAATCCCCAGATGACGCTACTGTGGTCACATTTTGAGAATCACTGGCATCAGGTTTTTTGGCCACAGCGTATATATGTGACTAAGGTAACTGCATATCTTTATATAAGATAGCATGATATTAATATTTGACTCAAAAATTATTTTCCTCTTGGCCTACTGAAAATGTTTCTTATTATATCATTCTTTCTCACTAGAGGGAACTCAAAGTTGATTTCTAGAGTATTTTCTTTGTACTTTAACAGATCTGTTTTGAGTCCTAGAATCTTTTTTGGAAACAGCGTCTCACCCTTTTACCCAGGGTGGATTCCCCTCCCTAGCATGACCACGGTTCACCGCATCCTCAAACTCTCAGGCTCAGGTGATCCTCTCACTGCAGCCTCCCAAGTAGCTGGGACCAAAGGTACACACCAACCATGCCCAACTGATTTTTATACTTTTTGTAGAAAAGGGTTTTCACCATGTTGTCCAGGCTGGTTTCAAATTCCTGGGCCCAAGCCATCCTCCCACTTGACCTCCTAAAGTGCTGGGATTATAGACGAGAGCCACTGTGCCAGGCCAGGTCCTAGAATCTCACCAAGAATAGATAGTTCTGTAAAGTGAGGCACTGATCTTGCCTCAAATATCCCTACCAAATGGTTATTCAGGCTCTGCATGAGCTCTGAATGTCATTCACCACGGTCCTTTTCATGTGTGAAGAACCATGACAGTGAGGAAGTACTTTATTAATTGATCTAAAATCTGTTTTCTATAAGTTTTACCTGTTGATCCCAGTTCTAGATCATGCAAACTATGAGTAATGGAAGGTATTATTATTAAGGTTTTCTGATTGTCTTCAAATAATTAGATATAGCCTCTTATCCTTCTACCATCTCTTTTTGGGTAAAGACTAGCATATCCATCACCCACTTCTTATATATAAGATGTCAAGTCCCCTCACTATCCTGGTTACCTGCCTTCTAAATTTTGTACTCAAAATTTAATGCAATTCTATTAACACAGTAAAAATAATTTTAATGTAATAGAATTGTGTGGAAATATAGAACTATGATTAAGATCAGATTCTTCGACATCAGAGAAACTTGAATTTGAATCCCATCTTTGCCCTTTTCTAGCAAGCCTTGTGGTCTTGGGAAAGATTTTTAGCCTCTTTCAGATTCCTTCGCCTCATATTTTAAAATGGGGTTATGAAACCTACTTCATCTTACGCTAAACAAACAGAATTAAACAAAAACTAATTGAGGGGGCCAGGCACAGTGGCTCACAGAGGTAATCCCAGCTTTGGGAGGCTGAGGCACGAGGATCGCTTGAGGCCAGGAGTTTGAGACCAGCCTGGCCAATGTGGCAAGACCCGTTTTCTATAAAAAATTAAAGAAGAGTCAGGGATTGGTGGCCCACACCTGTAGTCTCAGCTATAGGAAGGTTAAGGCAGAAGGATTCGCTTGACCAGGTTGAGGCTGCAGTGAGTCATGATCACACCACTGCACTCCAGTCTGAGTGACAGAGCAAGGTCCTCTCTCTAAAAAAAAAAAAAAAAAAAATGAAAACAGGGATTTGAAAAGTAGTTAAGTCCTTAGACTTTGATCACACCACTGCACTCCAGTCTGAGTGACAGAGCAAGGTCCTCTCTTTAAAAAAAAAAAAATGAAAACAGGGATTTGAAAAGTAGTTAAGTCCTTAGACTTTGCTAAATAGGTGAACTGTTACTGTGAATACCCACCTACCTCTGCATCCAGTGGCAGAGTCTGAAGATTTGTTTTCTGGAGGGCAGATGGAAGGTCTCTAAATTAGAGATGCTAGGTAGAATTACAAGCCAAAGCTACAGGATTAAGTGATGCTATGTAAACCAAATGCTGAATGCTGCAGCCCCCACCCCCTGCTGGCCTCCCAGCACCCTGGTAGCTAGACCTTTACCCTCTAGGTAGGAGATAGGACACCTGTTCTCCTGGAACCCAACTGGCTGGCCTAGAGGAAGGAACTAAAGATACTGACATTAGTGATTCCCCCAAAAAATGACTATTCACTAAAGCTCAAAGTTGACAAGTGCCGTTTACACACTCAAAGTTCCTTTCAACTTTTTAGCCCTCCACTCTTAAATACAGGCAGACAGAAGGAGTGCCAAACATCTGAACAAAACTTCTAATATGAAACATTGAAACAAAAGAGGAAACATACACTGTGAAGAGAAAGGAAAAAAATTTTAAAAGCTTATCATTATTCTCAAAGAAATAAGAGAATACAGTATATGAAACAAGAACAAGATGTTACAAAAAGAATTTCTGAAAACCAAAAAAGCTCTTGGAAATTTAAAAATATGATAGCAGAATATAAGAAATCAATGAGGGGACTGAACGCTAATGTTGACAAAACCTACGTGAAGTAAAGCAAAAAGACAAAGGTAGGGAAAATGGGGAAGAAAAGCAGGAACATTACAGGACCAGACCAGGAGATCTAACATCTGACAAGAAGAGGTTCTGAAAGAGACAACAGAGAAAACACAGAGGGGAAAAGAGGTGATTCAATCATTTAGGAAAATTTTCTGGGGCTGAAGGAAATAGATTGCCTGACTGAGTTGACCTCAGTGAGTAAAAATCGTCTCACTTCAGGGCACATCACTGAGAAGCTTCCAAATCCTCCGAAACAAAAGAAATTCTGTGATGCTTCAGAGAAAAAACAGGTTCCATGCAATGGATAAGAATTCGAATGGCTCCAAGCCCTGAGCAGCAATACTAGAAACAAGAAAACAGTGAAATGTGGCCTTCAAACTTCCGAAAGAATGATTTCTGACCTAGAATTCTTTAACCAAACTATCATTAAGCCTAAAAGTAGAGTACAGACATTTTCAGACATGCAAGTTCTCAAAACGTTTTCTTCTCATGGCTGTCGTCGTTAACATGCCCACTACCATCTTTCCATCTTGTTAATCCAAAGATAGAATGTCTCGATTAGCCTGACCTAGATTCCTAACTGTTCTTGGCTTTTCTTGACCATGTGCTGATGAAGTTCCCGCTTTTCATGTCCCTGCTGTTGCATCTGCTGAGAATATATTTCATCCCCAAAAAAGTTTTGTGATTGTATTTTTTTTCCTGAGAACTGGGGATAGGCCATGGAAAACTTTGAAGCAAAAAAAAAAAAAAAAAAAAAAAAAAAAAAAATAGAAACTGCCTGCCCTGGCCATAGTTTTTACAGGAGGTCCAATTTAGTTTAGAAGGGACGCGAATATGTAAAGCAAGATAAAATAGTAAAAAAAATAAGTCACGTGTTCTCATTAGTAAGCATCAATTTCCCTCTTCTGTGACTTACAATGAATTTCTTTTTTTAAGTAGCAAGTTCAGAGTTAGTTGCAAAAAGTTTATAACTGGATTCTACCAATTTATATCACATATCATAAGTGAATGTCAACAGATACTCCAAGAAGAAGAAAAAAGTTACATGTTTAAGCAAGCTTGGGAAACACTTGAATAAATTACCAGATCTCCCAGAACTTTAAATGCACTGATGGACATTGTTAATTTTCTTCTGCAGGCACAGTATGCAATTGCCCTGTTTTATTGATGACGAAGCCTGTTTTTACAAAACATCTTCTAACATCTGAAGGAACACTGTGTTTCTCAGAACAGTTTGGGAAATAACGATTTAGAATGAAGTGTGGGAGATTTAATATGATTTTGCCTGAAAGGAAGTAAAAACTACGAAATCTGTAATTTTATGAAACAAACACAAAAAGATTTACAATGCTTTTTACTTTCAGTTTCTTGGTGAGAAAAAAAAAATGATGATATACATTTGCCCAAGTGTTCTAGAGCTCAGATGGATTGGACTTCAGTCTTGATTATATTTTACTATAGAGAGAAAAATATTTATTTTACTAACTTTTGAATATTTGTAGTTGGGTAGTTTCATTTTGCCATAATAATCTCTGCAGAAAAAATAATTTAAAAGTTGAAGGAATCTGTTAGTTTTCTCACACTTTCTACTTTAAATACCAACTTAAAATGCTGGCAGTCTATAGAATGGGGTTTAATACTTTTCTGCTCTCTCTGATTAAGTTTAGTGTAAAAATATGTTGGGCAGGGTTTGAGTCAAGATGAGTCAAGATGAATATTGATAATTCTATTTTAGCTTCATTTCCATGGTATTATTGATATATAATACATCTATAGATTTTCTTAGTTTCCTGCTTTGGGTTTTTTTTAAGCTTATTATGAATAGTTAACATTTAAAATTCTAAGCAGTTTATTTATGTTGAGCCCTTCCAGATAGGCTTTTACATTATAAAATTATTTCAGCTATTACTCTCATTTGTATGTTGCATAAACCTTTTTCTCTCATTTTAGTCTCAACTGCCTCAGAGGAAGCATCTACCTTTTCTCATTTATCCATGTCATCTACTGATTTAGCCTCTCCAGAGAAGTCAGCTCATCTCTTATCCCCGATTCTGGCCAGACCTTCCTTCTGGACTTTGTCGCATCAACAGATGTCTTCTGCCTCCTTTAAAGATAAAGATAAGTCGGCCAAGCTGCATCACTCCTTTGCTTCTAGGGACCCAGTGTCTTCTGATGCAGAGGAAAATGACAACTTCAATCTACTGGGAATTCGTCCAAACAACTCTGATTTTGCTAAAAAGAATATAAGTCCTATTTCTAGTAGTCACCGGGGAGAGTTTTCCACCCCAAATGCAGACCGTATTTCTAGTAGTAATTGGGAAGGGTTTTCTACCAGGAATGTAGACCACATTTCTAGTAGTCACTGGGGAGAGTTTTCCACCCAAAACATAGACCAGTTCATCCCTCTTTCCTGTTCTGGTTTTCAGTCAACCAAAGACTTCTCCAGGGAACTTGAAGCAAAGAATTCCATGAGTGTTCTTCTAAGGGAGGTAAAAAGTGCTTTAGCGAGATTACATGAAGATCTGAGCACAGTGATTCAAGAACTTAGTGCCATCAATAGCCATCTGATGAGCATGAGTCTGAATAGTTCACAAACGAGCCAGTCTTCACAGGTCCCCCAATCTTCTGAGGGGAGCGCAGATCAAATCTAATCGTTGCAGTATCTATTTTTGATGGAACTCGTGTGGTTCCACTTCCCCAAGACTTAAGTTAACATTGCATACATTCATATTACTACGGCAAAAAGGGGGATGGTTCAATTTTTCCTTTTCAGGTTTATTAACAAGTATCTTTCAAACCAATAGTTTCATCTGGGTGATATTTTAAAAGGGAAAGATTGTCACCTTTAATAATTTCAGATTTAGATATTAGTTCATTTGAAACATAAGAGAATTTCATTCTTTCATGCTCTGTACCTTAATTGGGTTAAGCATTAGTGAAAATTGTAAGACCTCAAACTGTAACCGACTATTCAAGAGCGTTTGGCTAAGGAGACAGGAAGAAGCTCTTGATCTTTCAACTGTATGGAGCTTGCTAAGCCTCTGAGGTGACCCGGGAGAATCAAGTTTGGGGTATACATTTCACATGTTCTTTTGCCACTTTTAGGTTCTGCAAACCAAGGGCCAGAAATCTTTTCTTTCTTCCAGATGCCAGTGTTGGGAGTTAAATGGAAACAAGCAGGACATGAAACAAGTGTTTTTATTGTCAATGTATATTGCACAGTGAATTCAAATGTATACTTTTTATTCTATTTCAGAAAATAAATTTGATATTTTTCATCTTATATGTATCTTTTAAATTCATTAAGACAGCCTTTCAAATAGGAATGTCTCAGTTGTTTATGGACAAAATAATCACAGGCCAGTGATACCCACCCTGCTACACGTTGGAATCGCCACAGCAGCTTTCCTTTCGTTTTATGTTTGTCTGGGAAATGGGTCCATGTGCCCATCACTCAGTTTCAACAATTACCAACTCAAGGCAAAAATGATCCTGATTATTTTGAAGACATACGAAACATTTGAAGACATACGAAAATTAAAAATACACTAATGCCAGGGTCCTGTTCCCAGACTAATGGAAACTGGTTTTCATCACACAGACTGAAGTAGGAGATAAAGGGAATTGTCAGTGAAAAGACCTTAAAGCTGGAGGAATTTGGCATGGTGGAATAATGTCAAGAAGGCTGGTGTGGCTGAAGTGAAGTGAGCAAAGGGGAGAACAGATGGAGATCAAGGTCATGGAGTGAAGGTGACAGATGGCATAGGTTCTTAAAAACCACTGTTAGAGATTTTGGCTTCCACCCTGTGAAATAAAAATTAGGATAAGGGTTTAGGATACAAAATAGTTTGTGACTCTGATTCTAGATGATTTCTCTGGCTTTGGCAGGGGAAGTGGTACAAGAACATGAGGTAAGGCAGGTAAGCTGCTGCAGGTCTTCAGATGAGAGCTGATGGTGGCTCAAAGCTGGGTGGGCATAGTGAGGGTCAGTGAGAAGTTATTAGTTCAGACATTCACTAATGGATTGGACAAAATATATAAGAGAAAGAAGAGTCAGTGACAGATTCAAAGTATCGGACCGAGCAACTGAAATTCAAGATGACATTGCCATCAACTGAGATGAGGAAGGCTGTAGGTAGAGAACATTGAGAGACATTCATCTTTGGATGTGTTAATTTCAATTATGTGTTAGATAGCCAAGTAGGCACCTGGATATGAAAGCTGAGATTTCGAGGGAGTCTAGATTGGGATGGAGGCAGGCAGTTAGGAATTTGGTGGTTATTTAAAACTATAAGACAAAATGAAATGATCAATGGACTAAGCATGATCATGGAGAGAAGTTGAAGGCCTGAGCCCTATGCCATTATAACAAAGAGATTAAGAAAAAGTTGAAAAGCCAATGAAGGAAACAGAATAACCCATCACCCAGGTAGGAATTAAACAATAGTGTGTGGTGTTTGGAAACAAAGGTTGTACAGTTTTACATTGAATACATGCCCTTTACTTAGATTCACCAATTGTTAACATTTTGCCATGTTCACTTTATCTCCCTCTGTTGCTAAACATGTTTATATATGCATTATACAGAGACACATGATTTGCCGAACTATCTGAAGGTAAGTTGCAGACATTTTGACACTTCTCAACACTTACGGTGAACATACTTACTACATGATCAAGGGTAATGATTATTCAACTTACCTTCCAGTTAATTACTTCTCTCTTCAGCTGTGTCTAGTCCATTATCAAATCATCCCATCAGGTTTTAATTAGGTTATATTTCTTATTTCTAGAATTTTACTTGGTTCTTTAAATTTTCCTATAGTTTTATAAGTTAATGTTTCTTACAGATATTTTCAACTATATCTTTACTATTAAAATAGTAACCAAACTAGTGTAGAATTCTTACTAGTAAGAATATTAGGCTGGACATGGTAGTTCATACCTGTAATCTGACCACTTTAGGAGGCTGAGGTGGGAGGATCACTTAAGCCTAGGAGTTCGAGACCAGACCAGCCTGGGCAACATAGCTAGACTGTGTTTCTACAAAAAAAAAAAAAAAAAATAGAAAATTACCTGGATGTGGTGGCGTGTGCCTGTGGTCCCAGCTACTCAGGAGGATGAGATGGGAGGATTGCTTGGCCTGGGAGGCTAAGGTGGCAGTGAGCTGTGATCACACCACTGCATTCCAGCCTGAGTGACAGAGTAAGACCCTGTCAAAAAAAAAAAAAAAAAAAAAAAGAATATTAAGTAAACTAGAGAGTATTCTCACCAGTAAACTAGTAATAATATATACTTTTAAGATTATAAATAGCTTAAATGCATAGCTGCATTCCATAAAGCTTGTAAAGTTGAAATGTAGTTCACATACCATAAAATTTACTTTTAAAGTGTGTAATTCAGTGATTTCTAGTGTATTCACAAGGTTGCACAGCCATCACCATTATCCAATTCCAGAACATTTTCCCCATCACAAAAAGGCACCTTATCCCCATTTGTAGCTGCTCCCCATGCCCCCCCTTGTCCAAGCTCCCGGCTACCACTCATTTACAGTCTGTTTTCATGAATCTGCCTACGTTGGCTATTTCATATAAATGGAATTACATAGTACACAGCTTTTTGTGTTTGACTTCTTTAACTTAGCATCTAGCTTACATTCTTCCTGTGGTGGAATAATATCCATTGTATAGATCTATCACATTGTGTGTATCCATTCATCGGCTGGTAAACATTGGTGGTGTTCACACTATCTGGCTATTGTGAATGCTGCTGCTGTGAATGTTTGTGTGAATGTCTTTCACTTCCCTTGGGCATATACCTAGGAGTGGAACTGCCGAGTCATACGGTAACTCTTATGTTTACCTTGCTGAGGACCTGCCAAACTGTTTTTCAAAGTGACTGTACCATTTTACCACAAGTTTTGGTATGTAGTATTTTCACTGTCTTTTAGCTTCAAACATATTCTAATTCCTATTATGAAGAAGTAGAGAGGTGCATTTCCTCATTTCCACACACATTGATAAACAATAACAAAAGTTAGTTTAGATTTTATTTTTTGTTAATTTGATGTCTCTGCCAGTTTGTGCTCATAGTATCGTATTTCCTTGTGTGCCTGATTATCTTCGACTATGTGGTGGTCGTGATATTTGGAAAATTATTTGTATGAATAATACAAGAACCTGCTTTTTATTTCTGCCAAGTGCCTTGCCTGGTGTACCTTAACCTTAACACACAGGTTGAGTTGATTAAGGTCATGGCTTAAAGTTCTCTAGAATACCTAGGTTAATCCCAGAGTCAAATTCCTCATAAGAGTTGGTTTATTTCCAATTCACTCTCACCGCATAGCTATTAGATTTCCCTTTATTGTAAGGAACATCTTCCCACCTTTTATGAAGGTGATTTCTGTTCCTTCACCATCAAAATGGAAGTTGGAATTTGTTGGACTCAGCAGGTGCCTTTAGGGAAAAGTGGCTTCTATGATCATTTACCTACCTATCAGGTGCCTGTCTTAGTACCTACTATTTGTAAGGCTCTGTGCCAGAACCTGAGAATACAAGAGGGAGTGCACATAAACTTCTTTATAAAATAAGGATGAAATATGAAGACATTGTCCACAGGCTTTCTTCATACACCTGGGAGATCAGCCAGTGGATTTCTAGGGAGTTACTAGTGGGATGCAGCATCTCCTTTTTGTACTGGCTGTAACATTTCTTAGCTGTAGATTTTAACTAGGACTTAGAGAGCTCATATATTTTAATGCAACCATGCAAACATTGGTTAATTAGTATAATTAACAAGCACTTATTTGAGCCTCTATTTAGCCAATTCCATTAAATAAATAGAACAAAGTTGGCTTAAATTAAGAGTGGCTGTGTTCTGATTGACTTGGTAATTATCTTAGATTAAAAATACTTCATTAGATGTTATTCTCTTAAGCACTTTGGAACTTGAGGATCCTATAAGGCAGTTATAAAAATATTTTACAGTTTGCTTACTGTCGAATTACTGATGCGTTCATTCTTTAAATATGTATTAAGCACCTATGGTGAGTGGGCAGTTTGCTGGACGTTGGGGACACCACAGTGGGCAGGATGGATGTGCTCACTGCATGTGCTCACTGCCTTCAGAGCTAGTTCAGTGGAGACACAGACAGATAAGTGGGTAGTTGTCGTCTCACGTGTAGGTCCTATAAATTTGGGAGCACAGCGTGGTGTGGCGGAGCCTGATAAAGCGTGACAACCCGCTCTGATTAGGGCCTCCGGGGATGCCGCATGGAGGAAATGAAGTCCAAATGGGATCCTGAAGGATAACCAGGAGTTCGTCCAGCAAAACGAGTTTTCTAGGCAGAGAGGACAGCACGTTCAAAAGCTGGGGGCAAGAGAGAACTTGATGAGCTTGAATACAGGATGTGCAGAACTAGCGGTGGGTCAGAAATCAGAATGACTAGTTTCACACTTGATGCAGTGACACAGTGGGTGATGGTTAGGTGACCCGCACAGATTGAATAAAAGAAAAAGACCGAGTGACAAGTAAATGGATCGTATTGAAAACAGTATGTCATAGAAATCTGGAGACTAAAGTTTCCAAAATCCATTCCAAATGAGTTCATTGTCACAGTGCTTTGCCCTGAATATGCGAGGAGTCCCTTCTT